CCCATTGAACCCACAGCCTATCTTTCTTCTTGCATAAGTTCCAGAGATGTTTGAGAATAGCAGCCTTATTCCATGTGTATATATCAACTATGTTGAGCCCCCATGCTGATTTTGACAAGCAAATTTTATCCCATGCTATTAAAGCCTTCTTTGAGCATTCATTATTCCCATTCCATAAGAACATTCTGCATATCTGTTCGATCTTTTGCATCACCTTCTTTGGTAATATAAAAATTTGCGACCAGAATTGCTGAATAGCTATGAGTACACTTCTAATCAACTGTAATCTCCCTGCATAAGATAGCATTTTTGCTGTCCATGAGGTCACTCTTCCCACCATCCTTTCCAGAAGTGGCTGGCATTGCCCAATAGTTAGCCCTTTTGAACTCAATGGCACTCCCAAGTATCTGAAAGGTAGAGTTCCCACAGAGAATCCTAACTCCTTTATAATTTGATCTTGAATCTGATCTGGTACTTCTCCAAAGTATACATCACTCTTCCCTTGATTTGCAATTAATCCAGAAGCCATCTGAAATTGTTTATATAATAGTTGAGTAGACACTACATCCCCTCTATAAAATAACAACAAATCATCTGCAAATTCCAGTTGTATAATATCCAGCTTAGCACATCTAGGATGATAGTTAAAATCTGGATTCCCCGCCAAAGTCTTTAAAGATCTGCTAAGGTATTCCATGGCTAGCACAAATAAGAAAGGTGACAGGGGATCACCTTGCCTTAGTCCTCTCTTAGCAGAGAATGGGATACTTGGTTTACCATTTATAATGACAGAGTATGATACTGTTGATAGACACACCATGATCCATTTCACAAATATATCTGGGAAGTTAAGTGCATGTAAGACTTGCTCTAAAAATACCCATTCAATAGAGTCATAGGCTTTTTGCATGTCAATTTTGATCATGCATCTTGGTGACACCCGTTTCCTCCCATATCCTTTCACTAGTTCATGACTAAGGATTATATTATCTGTTTTAAGTCTGCCAGGAACAAATGCAGCTTGACTCTTATCAATGATGCTATCCATGACTCCCTGTAGTCTACTAGTACGTATTTTGGATATGATTTTATATAATGTGGAGCAGCAAGAAATAGGTCTATATTGTTTCACTGATGTAGGGTTCTTGATCTTAGGCACCAATGTTATAGTTGTACAGTTTATTGGTTGATAGAGATTTTGAGTATAAAAAAACTCCAGAACAGCTTCAGTTACCTCTTCTCCAATCGTGGCCCATGCTTTCTTGATGAATACTGAATTGAATCCATCTATCTCTGGAGCTTTTTTATCGTCTATCCCCTGAAGTGCTTGCCACACTTCTTCTCTACTAAATGGCCGAATAAGCTGCATTTGTTGCTTCCTTGAAAACACAGGTCCCCTCCTCATATCATTTAAATTTATAGCAGGTAGTATAGGATTGGCAGCCCCAAGTAATCCCTGATAGAAGTTTAGTATCTCCTCTTCTATTCCTTTCTCTGTTTGGACAATATCTCCTACTGCATTTGTAAGTGCTTTGATCTAATTCTGAGCTCTCCTGTTCTTTATGCTAGCAAAAAAATAAGCTAAGTTAGAGTCTTCTAGATTGAGCCATTGGACTCTAGACTTCTGTTTATAAATGCTTTCCTCTACTACATCCCATTTCTCCAACTGTAGTCTTAGCTCTTTTTCCACTTCAAAATGATATGGATCCTGAGTAGGAGTTCTCATTTGTTGTTGTATTGTTTGAAGCTCATTCCTGATGCCTTTAATTTTGTCAGCAATCCTAGAATACTCCTTTGCATTTAGGCTCTTCATTGCTTATTTTATATGTTTCAGCTTCAGCCAGACTTTTTTCATGTATCCTGCATTGGTATTTATCTGCCAATTATCTGCTACTATCTTCTCAAAGTTAGGGTCATCAGCCAAACAGTTCATAAATCTAAATGGTCTAGGTGCTGCCTTTTGTTGACTTCCCAATTCAATACATAAGGGAGAGTGATCAGAGAGATATGGGTCTAGAACATGAACTTGAATAGGAGGCATCTTACTCATCCACTCTCCATTTACTATTGCCCTGTCAATTTTGCTAAAGACATGACTGTTTGTCCATGTAAATGACCTCCCTATTGCTTTTAGTTCAGTCATACCAGCATCTTCTACAAATTCTCTAAAATCCCTTATCTCATGGTCTTGCACCACAGTTCCATGTATTCTATCCTCTACCTCAAGAATAGCATTGAAGTCTCCCATTACTAGCCATGGTTCTTGTTGCCTGCTTTCTATCTCTCGAAGCTTCCTCCATATTTCCTTTCTATCCTGCACTGTATGGAGGCCATATACAGCAGCAAAATGATAGGTCATTGCATTGGCAACACATTTGATTTCAGCTTGTATGTATTGACTATGTATATTGATTTCCTTCACTATAGCAACTTTTGGATCCCATAGTAGCCATATTATCCCCTTATTATTCAAAGAAGTGTTTGAGATCTTCCCATGTAGGTACTATTTTGTTTATCACTTGCCTCTCTTTACATTCCTTTACTCTATGTTCAATAATAGCTATGACATTTACTTTATTTACCTTGATAAATTCCCTTAACTCCTTTTGCTTATACACCTTGTTCACCCCCTCATATTTCAAGTGGTGACTTTCATCTTAGTAATGGAGGGAAATGGTCTTGGCTACCTTCAACCCTTTGGCTACTCTGTCCCCTTCCACATTGTTTATCTTGCTGTAATCCTATGATTTGGCATTCTCAGCCCACCTTGCTAATGAGCTAAAGCCATTTGTTGTATCTACCTTTCTATCTGTGTTACCTCCAGTTTTGGCCATTTTGCTAGCTGATTTTGTTTTCACCATTGTCCAGCCTTCTGCTTGTGGTACTGTTGCATTAGCCTGTTCCTTGTTCTCATCATCTTTCCCGCCATTTGCTTGCCCATTTGATTTCTGTATTTGTTCATTCTTTTTGTCACTTGTCTTCACTTGATCAGTTCTCTTTTAGATTTGCATAGGCTTTACTTGTTTTCCTCTTTGGCCTTGTACTGGCTGCTTTTGCACATTTGTACTCTTGCAATTGTGGCCTATTTGCAGACATGATTCACAATACTCAGGCTGCCAATCATATTGCACTTCCTGTTCAAATACCCCTCCCTTAGGGTCCTGCACATCAATGTTCTTAGGAAGTGGTCTAGTAATAACCATTTCAATAAGAATCCTTGCATATGATATGCGTGCAATATTGGTGGTGCACTCATCTGCATATACAGGGGTACCTAGTCCATTACTAATTTTACTTAGTGACTTCATACCCCAGCAGCTTAGAGGAAGTTTAGGAAACTTCACCCAAATTGGTATGGTTTTGAGCACTTCATTCTGAAAATTAAAGTCTGCCGACCATTCCTTCATTATCACTGGTCTGTTGTTGATTGTATTTGGGCCTGATAGCATCACCTTCTCTTTGTCCTCTATGCTTTTGAATCGGATGACAAAATAATCATCGTTATGATAGTAAACTTGAGGTTTCTCTGCAAATTTCCACTGTGTTACTAAAAATCTCTCTACTGCTCCTATTGACGGAGAGTCTCCAATAACATACAGGATTATAGCCATTTTCCATTTCTCGCTTTCCTCTTCTATATCCTCCTGCTCCAATTTCACAATTGTCTTCCATTCCTGGATGCTTGGTGGAATATATCTCAGATTCATGCCTTTTGAAGCCATCTTACTTCCTGTAAGTACACTTGCCCAGGTTTGCATATCTCCATTCTCCGTTGGCTGACTTCCATTTCCTACTACCTTTTGAGTATCTTCCTTCTCCTTGTTGTTAGATCCATTGTTGCCAGAACCATTACTCTGAGTTAGCACATCTTTCACCGCAGAGGTACCCCCTGCATGGCAGTTAGTACCATCTCCATAGTTAGCCCTCCTGCATGTGCTTAATTCATCCATAACCACAATTGATTTCCCCTTCCCAGCTGTAGGCGTGACCTCCAGTTCCTGCTTGTTCAATTGATTTTCCTGTTCCATTGTTTGCTTTGCAGCAGATCCATGGAAGTGTCCTCCACCTGGTGATTTTCCACTTCCTGTTTCGATCTTCAGTTCCTCGAGCAGCTTGGGATCTATAATCAGTACCTTATTGACCCGCTTCCGTGGTCTTCCTCATCCTCCCATTCCGGTGAGCAGCGCACGTTAGTAGATTCACCTAATCGAGCGCTGAGAGAAACGATTATAGAGAGAGAAAGTTTTGTTGAATTTTTACGGCATCACCCATTTTATTAATTATTCTTAACTTTTTAAAATGCATATTTTAAATCTACAACTTTTATCTTTTTTTTGAATTTTTTTAAAATAGGCATTTTTGTTTGAATTTTTAAATCTGCTTCATCTTACCGAGGAGGTGTGGAGGTTGCAAATTTTTTCATTGTTTCTTGAGCCGAGGGTGTATCGAAAACAACTTTTCTACCTTTACAAGATAGGGACACCTACCACCCCAGATCCTATTTGTGAAATTACACTAAATTTTTGTTGTTGTTGTGGTTGTTGAAGTTTTTAATCTATAGTATGAATTTACTTATAGATACATAAATATTAACTTTGATACAACAAAAGAATGAGAAGTAGATTTCAAGCATATAAGTTACTGACCTTCAATAATGAGAAAAGAAATAGTTTTCCAGTATCATTAATTTTATTGATGGCAATAAAAACTTACTCTATTTATAACATTTAGAACAAAAGAAAGTGAGAACTTTGTAATAAAAAGGTTTAAAAAAAAATAGAGGTAGATTTTATAACAAATACCTAAAAACAAGTTCAAGGTGGTAATAGGACCCCCGCGAATTCAAGACAAATTCAGGGTGATACTTATCCCTTTTCCCTTTAATTTACCTATGGTTCTTGCACTAATCAATATCAATAATTGCAGGAATTAACAAACAAATTGTTTATGCATTTTATTAGTCTAATACTTCATAGCTTATCAAATCATGACATTCCTAATATCAACGTAACAAAGTACTTATGTTTCATAACATTACAACAACTTGTAGTATTTATTTACAATTACAAAAAGAGTTATATGGAACACAAAGGGTCATACATGATGGTAAATACTTACAGGCGACCAGCATTTTTACTGATTCAAGAAATTTAACCTTAGCAGTTGCAAATTAAAGTAAGAATACATATATGATATCACTTAAATATGGCTAATAGCCGCGGAGAAAAGATCATTTTCATTTCCATGGCTAAGGAAGGATCCTCTCATCATAGCTTTTACTTTTCAGCAATGTCGTTGCCTTTGAAGACAGGGGTAGTTCGATGCACAAAGCTCGTGCTTTAAGCAAAATTCAGGAAAGAGCCGAACCACGTTGAATCTATCGTACGAAAGTAGCACTCATAATGCACAGACAAAATCTCCACTTGTATCTATCTCATCATCTATATCAGCATCAATATCTAAGTCATCAAGATCAATGCTACTACTTCCCTTAACATATAAGTTGCCATCTTTGAGCCCCTCTCCTGGTTTTCTTGCCTCTTGAATTATAGCTAAAACTTCTTCAATACTTTGAGATGGTTCATTTTCTTCATTTGTTTGTAAACTAGCTTCCTCTCCTTCCATAAATTCTATAGGCAAGTCCTTTAGAAACCAAGGATGCTTTTTAATCTCTTCCATAGTTATTCTCTACATATACAATATTATTTAATTAGCTGATTTTCAACCCAAAAAAAAAAAAAAAAAAAAGAATGTACAAATTTGAAGTGAAAATGAAACTACAAACCTTCTCAGGATCAGCTACAAATATTTGAGATAAAAGATGTTTACACTCCTTTGAAACTCGAACGTAATAAGGGATTGAATATTGAACACTCAATATTCTCTGCCACGAACCAAAATTTCACATCTTTAAGATAGAGAGAAAAGAGGAAAAGAAACAAGTAGTCAACTATAGAGGGTTAATTTCACGTATGTTCAGTGAATGTGTTATAGCAAGTAAAGTTCAATGACCATATGTGAAATTAACGTATTTTTATAAATGAACGATAACTTACGGTTAATGTTTTCCTGAAATTTCTTGGATCATCAGGATCTTCAAAGGGATAAGCACCAACTAGCATCACATATAATGTAACCCCACAAGACCAAACATCTGCTGTCTTTACTTCCAAATGATGACATGTAAACCATGATGTTTAGATCAATAAATCAATGAGTTATTGAAGCAATAGCTAGAAGGGGAGCCTTTGGCGTAACTGGTAAAGTTGTTGCTATGTGACCACGAGGTCATGGGTTTGAGCAGTGGAAACAACCTCTTGCATAAATGCAGAGTAAGGCTGCGTATAATAGACCCTGGTCCGGCCCTTCCCCGACCCCGCGTACAATAGACCCTTGTGGTCCGACCCTTTCCCGACCCCGCGTATAGCGGGAGCTTAGTGCACCGGGCTGCCCTTTTTTAATTAAAGCAATATCTAAAAGATTTAAGTTATATTATTGACAGTAAATTTTAAACTATTTAGCTAATTTAATGTGTTATAGCAGGTAATTTAGCCTGATCTTGTAAAAAAATTTTTACACGGTACCAAAAACTTAAAATTAAAAGATTAGTATCGTACCTTCCCATCATACTCTTTTTTTGATAAGACTTCTGGTGCGATATAAGCTGGAGTTCCTACTGTAGATTTGGGTTGAGAATGCAAGACTGATGACTAAACAATGAATTATACAACAGTAAGAAGCTATTTTGAAAAATAATTCAATTCCAACATAGAATAGAGTTCATATATTTTTGCCTTGGAGTAGCCAAAGTCACATATTTTGAGACGCGGTGTTGAGCTCCCATCTAAGAGCGCATTTTCAAGTTTGAGATCTCTATGACAAATTTGCTGCATTTCAAGAAAATATTTGTACATTACAAGGTCATAAGTACAAGCATAATCCAGGAGTATATTTACATAAACCAATTCAAATAAACTAAATAGACGTCTCAGTTTACCATTGAGTGACAGTAACTGACTCCTGATATAAGCTGTTGAAAGAAAAACCTTGCCTGAAAAATAACCACAAGTAGGACATGTTGGGTTTTTAGTTAAAATTGAGGTGAACGGAAATGGAGGAAAAAATAAAATTTTAATTTTCCTTCTTTTACAAAAGGAATATTGTCCTATATTGGAGGAGGAAAGCTCATTTGTTGAGTATATATATGATTACACTTCTTCTAGCTCTTAAAGAGTTGAAAAGAAGGCAAGCCTCACACCACCGTCATTCTCGCTCGGCTCGACTGCGGCTTCGATCAAATGATCTGATTGATTGATTAATTTTTTGGACCAAATTTAGTTGTTAAATATTAATATTTAATCCAAATCGGCCGTTTTTGTAACGGTAATTTAAAGTTCCCCTCTAATTTTATTTTTCCGTTTTATTTTGCGTAAATAGCCATTTACGTAATAGCCGTTTTACGTGAACAGTCATCTGGAAGAGTTGCACATCTTCGTTTGAACCCAACCTGTTGGCCATAAATACCAGGTCATTCCCCTCAGGTTTTCCTTATGAAAATTCTGAAATCTCTTCTTCCTTTCTACATTGTTTTCTTACAAAACAAACAAAGTGTGATTGCTGTTGCTATTTGTGTTCTTGAAATACTGGGTTTGAAGTACCGCTATACGGGTGTGTAATCTATTCTATCTTGAGAGAAAATAATCCATAACCTCAGGTACTAGGAGGGAATTAAGTTCCTTAAAGAATTACCTTTTCCTTATATAAATAATAAATAATAATAAATATGCCCTTTGATCGCTACAAGTATGTAGCCACGTACTGTGAATTCAGTGGGCTCGGATAAATATTTGCTTCATCTACATTTCTGTTATTACGTTATTTTCTATTTCCAAAATTACTTTACAAATACAGATTACTAACATGACAGATTACTCAAAGTTCCAATGAGAAGAGGAACTAATTTGATTACTTATTACAATTACCTAAGTTGCTCGGAGTCAGGAGTGTTTGATACGGGTGCGGATCTAGAGGTTGGATCCTTCATGATCTTAATTTTACGTTTTATGGATCCAAGTACGGATACGGGTTTCGGATGGCTAAAAATAATTCAAATATCTAAAAATAGATTTATAAAACTGTGTCTAAATTATGAGACATTATGTGAAAAACTTAAATTCCTAGAAGGAGAAAATATTGATCAAGAGGAGATCCGAGAAGGAGATAAAGCAAAAGGACTAACATAGAATTTTATGTATACAAGGCATTCTATTTTCTTCAATTTCACCTTGTTTTTTTGATTCAGAAATTATTATATTTGTCCCGATTTTTTCAGTCGATTTTGGTCAAAGTACCCAAAATCGGTTGACAAAATCCATACGGATCCCACAACCACAACCGAAAGTGAAGAGTCCAAGCAACTTAGACAATTACAGCTATTAAAATGTGAACAAAAATCTAATATTTTTATGTTACCTCATCTTCACTGAATCTACCAGCATTACATATTCTTTCAAAAAGCTCTCCTCCTGCAGCATATTCCATCACTATGGCTAAATGAGTTGGGGTAAGAAATACCTGCACAATATTGAAAAATCTACTTTAAATATTTTGGTAAATAGCTCTATCAAACTAGTTAAACTCAGAGTCGAAGTTTTTTCCTAGTTTGCAGAGAACTAGAAGATTCTAGGAGTATTGTGATAGTTCTATATTCCAGCTTTCAATTATTGCCAAGAAACAAATGTGGGGTTTGCTTGTCCAAAATATAGATGGAATCTGATTCAAAGAGGCAATATTGGAAAAGCTAGTAACTTAAACCGGACAAAAGGGAATTTCACCTTTAGGTAACTACTTCATTAAATGCTGAAAGGATATTATATGGAAATAAAAGTATGCTCTTTAACAGCTTAAATTTTTGGATAAGATGATCGCTGCAATTTAACATAATATCAGCACATGCAAAGGTCTTGGATTCAAGTCTTATCGTTACCAAAAAGGACAGCTAGGTGCACTAAGCTCCCACTATGTGGGAGGTCCGGGAAAGGGCCGGACCACAGGGGTCTATTATATGCGGCCTTACTCTGCATCTCTACAAGAGTCAGTTTCCACGGCTCTTACGGTTACCAATTACCAAATAAGAATTTTATGTGTTCGGCCATGAAAATGAATCAGGAACACACATGAGAGAACGTGTTGAAAATATAATTAAGTAATAAAGTGTGTACTCTCTAACAGTTTAAACTTTTAGATGAGATATCGGCACAATTCGAGTAACTACTCTTAGAATGATGCATTACCTCCTTGAATTTAATGATATTGGGATGCCTCAAAGACCTATGATTCATGATTTCTCTCTGGACATGCTCATCAATCTGCACAGACAACCAAAATAAAACAGAAAAAGTTGCAGAAAATGAGTAAATGAACATAAAATAAGTATTCCTTAAATGCCATATACATGAATATATGCCAAGAAGAACAGAACGTTCTATCCTCCCCAGACCCTACTTTGTGCTATTACACCGGGTATATTATTGTTATTGTTGTTGTTGTTGAGAACAGAACATATATGAGAAAGAGATGAATCAAACCTTTTTGCATCTCTCAATAAACTTGACAGCATAAAGTTCACCTGTCCACTTATCTTTTACCAGCTTAGCTACACCAAAATTACCAGAACCAATTTCTTTCAGAATTTCATATCTTTCCATTCTATTTTAACTTGAATACCTCAAATGCATGAGTATTTGAAAAACACAGCTACATGAAGAGGGGGCTATTCAAGATTTGAGTGTGTGTCTATATATATATATATATATATATATATATATATATATATATATATATATATGTCCATATATAGATTATATATAGAAGATGCTCAAAGATGAAGCTAGCAAAAGGAAGAGCTGTAACTGAGTGAAGTGTCCAAGTCTTTGCTAACTGGAAAGAAGGAAAACTCAATTGTGGGGCTAGTCTTCCTAGAACATATGTGTCCTATATATCTGACAGGAACAGTGAGAATGGTAAACACGTGGCACCATTCCAATGGTTTGACTTTTGACTGTAAAACTAATACTAATAGATGTTGAACCCACCATGGTGGTATAGTCGTCCCAAAAACCAAGAAAGCAATATAAAAAGGCAGAAGGTGTGGCGGATGATTGAGATGAGTGTTTTAAAAGGTTTGGGCGTAAGGCGATACGTTTTACATATGTCTCAGCGAGGCGTAAGCCCCATAGATATTTAATTTTTAATATTTTATAAAATAATATAATTACAGTAAATATTTATAAACAGGTAAAATTGCATAAAAATTGAAGAAAACTATAAATTAAAGAAAATATATATGTATGTATGTATGTGTGCTCCATCCCCATAAAAAACTAGTCAAAACAATCTATTATACGCTACTTAGAAGCACAAGTAATTTGAGTCGAAAAGAATAAAGTTTTCTACCTGGAGGAACAAAAAGGATGGCTAACCTGCAATTTGAACTTTGAACTTGCTGCTATGAAGGAGGATGGAGTTCTATTTGTATTTGTAAAAAAAGAAAATTGAATATTCGTTGCTTTTGGGAGATATTAATAGACTAGCGGACAAGATAAAGAATTGACAAAAACCATGAATCAGGACTTCAATCAATAAAAAAGATCTTGACTTTTAAATTTAATGCATTTCAGTTCCTTTTTAAAACTTTTGAGTAATTACCAAGCTAACTTTTGAGAATTTAGGTATTATATGTAGGACTTATTCAACAAATTTTGTTTTAATTTGAAAAAGTCTCTCGGGCTTACCCCTCACTAAAAAAACGTGCCTCAAATGCCCGGGCGTACGCTCCAAACGCTAGGCGTACGCCCAAAATTGTTGGGCGTACGTCTCTTGAGACTTTCGCCCCACACCACCCACTACTAGAATTCCGCAAAAAAGCGACCAAAAAATAGCGACCAAAGTTGGTCTGAAGAGAAAAGCGACCAACGTTGGTCGCAAAACTAGCGAAAATAATAAAATAAATAAATGAAACAAATCTGCGACCAACGTTGGTCGCAATTTGGCCGCTAAATTAGTCAAAATATTGACTGGACCGGTCAGACTTGCTTGGTCAAAGGTTTACTGAGATTAGCGACCAATGTTGGTCGTTAAAGTGGGACCCACCAAGAAAAACGTTTTAGCTTTAATTCTTTTGATTAGCAGTTCCATACTTTTGTCAGTCAAATCACTGTCTGAATCCGAAGAATATATCACCAATATCCCATTAAGCTTGTACGGATCAGACTTGGAAGAAAGTTGAGAACAAAACTTCCTATAATATTTGTCATCATAGAGTTTTATGATCCCCGTTTTATGGGAACTGCCATGACCAATGGAAAGCATTCCATAACCATCACCCTTGTCACTCTCAATTAAACTTCTTTTCTTCTTGGAAAATGAAGTAGAGAATTCCTCTATAATCTTTCTTTTATCTACTTAGGAAATGTTAAAATTCCTACCTATACCATCACTAGTTGAAACACATGCCATTGCAGTCTCAACATCATTGTCGCTAACGAGAACAACAATTGATCAAAAGACACACCCTGTCAGCTAGTGTATCCAAGTTATTCTCTGTATCCAAGTTCATCCCGAGTAATAGTACCACGAGGATAATCACCAAAGCCACCGGACAACTTAATGATGCCAATGAAGCAAGATGAGCTATTCAATGAAACTCGTATTGTAAAGAAGAAGAAAGAGACTGATTCTGAAAGGTGGGTCGAGGGTCGAGACTCGACTATACATGTAAGTTTTTTACTTTTCATTAAGTATTTTGATTTACTTTTATATAAATTTTGAAATATTAATTCAATATAATTTTTCTTATAGGTTCGCTTCACAGCTGATGTGGGGGAATTCATACGCAGTCAGCCACCTAACGAGTCGGCCGAGGCAATCCAATTTTCGAACGAGGATACTAAAAGAACACTCCTTGAGTACTTTATATACTTTGAACTAGACAATAGAACTAGTTTTCGAATGAGCTTGTAATAAACGTTAACTTAGTTTTGTTAGCTTAATGTTTTAGTTCTATTGATCTTTATATTTTGTTGCTTTTTAGTGTTGTTGTTGTTGTTGTTGTTGGCATAAAATGCCTGTTTAGGATATTTGGTATAAGCTGGCAGGTGGTGTAGCAGCCAAAACAGGCAGTTTCTGCCAAAAATATACCGAAAAAAGCGACCAACTTTGGTCTCCAGTTGGTCGCTTTTCACTTAAAAAAAAAATATTTTTCTGGGCGATAGCGACCAGTCTTGGTCGCTATTGTGTTTTAAAAAAACAATTTCTTGCCATTGGCGACCAATTTTGGTCGCAAATTAAATAAAAAATTATAAAAATTATTAATATAGCGACCAAAGTTGGTCGCTTGATATGATTAATACTAAATAAAAATAAAACGTTATTTACATCTGGAGACCAACTTTGGTCGCCAAATTTATAATATTAAAATATTTGAGCGACCAAAGTTGGTCGCTATATGCTTTGCCCGGAAAATTTGGTCCTTTTACCTGTGAGACCAAAGTTGGTCGCTAATTAGCAACCAACTTTGGTCCCTAAGGTAAAGGGACCAGCTTAATATCGACCAGGCGTGTTTGGTCGCTTTTTGGTCAATAGGCGACCAACTTTGGTCGCTTTTCGTGGTCGCTTTTTTCCGGAATTCTACTAGTGACCGCCTTGGGCCGTTTTCGGTGCGCCTCGCCCCAAGGATCGCCCCGAAAACACCTTTTAAAACACTGATTGAGATCCCTCTACTATTTATCAGAGGTCTTGATTCGAATTACAGGAATGAAGCATTTTACTTTTTTAGTAGGTTGACACGAGATGAAGTCAAATTGATGTGCCTATAACAACAAGTAGCGAATGGTTAAATTGAAAAAAAACGAAGAGAAAACTACAGAGAAATATATGAATATTGTAGTTTAGTTATGTTTGTTTGTAATGTAAGTGATACAAATATTGCAAATTCTTTGCTATTGCGATCAACAAATAAGAGCACCATGTTCCTTAGGCTACACAAAATCTTGAATAAACAGAGAAAACAACGTAGAAATGCAGGGTAAGGCTGTGAAAACAGTCTTTTGCAGAAATACAGGGTAAGACCGCGTACAATAGACCCTTGTGATCCAAACCTCGCGCATAGGGAGCTTAGTGCACGAGGTTTTTTTTTTTTTTTTTTTGGTAACTAAGAGACAAAGAGGGACAAAAAAAAGAGCTAAAAATGATTAAACTTGTTGTAGCACGGTTTTTACTTAGTTTATATTTCTAACAAATTGTCTTAATCAAACTGGACCACAAATGTACACCTTGACCTTCAGCATTAAGTCTACAAGGGAAGGAAGAGAATTTGAAATTCTGAGCTGTAAAGCAGAGAAAATTCCTACTTTTCTTTGCACTTAAAGTTGCGACCCAACCGTCAATGAAGTGAATGAAAATAAAGCACGACAAAGTTTAAACTTTACCGGAGACAAAATAAATTTTCCGCTTATTTAAGTCTTGATGATCAAAGTTACGCAAATTTATACTAGTGGAAAATAACAGCTAGGCCTAATGAAATAGTTGAGTGCACATAAACTGAAGAAAGAGTTCCTATATTTTGGAGGGGTCCCAAAATAGAAACCAACCATCTTGAGAAAAATAGTTGCCATGAGGAAAATCAAATTCAAGATTGTGAATGAATGTTGAATGCAAAGTGAACGATGGGTAAGCAGTGGCGGAGCCACATGCACCAAAAGGGTGTCAACCGACATCTCTTTGTCGGAAAATTACACTGTGTAGCTCGGTAATTTTCTTTTAATATATATATATATATAATATATATATATATAATGACACCACTTGACTTCTTAGTGAGTTTATTTCTTCATATTTTGACTCTCTTTAATAAAAATCCTGACTCCGCGTTGTGGATAAGGCAACAAATATTGTATAAAGAGACTTATAATTATTAGCCTTGTCCTCGTGCTACTTTGTGGGTCTTAGGTCCACCCCCGTTCTTAAAAAGGTTTTTGACAATTCATTGACCGACTCTTTTTATTAAGTTGTTAGAAATTTGAGGAGTTGGGATTTTGAGGAACAAGTTTTAGTGCATAAAAGTTGGCAAGTTAGAGTAACCATATCCTCAGAATTTCTGGGGTTGGGGAAGAATTATCCTTTGGTTCTGTCATCCATTATCTCTACTACTATTCCCTCCGTCTCATGTTAACGGTCATGGTTATTAAAAATATTTATCTCAAATTATTTATCATTTTAGAAGTTGAAAACAAAATTGATTGTTTTTCTTTTTCTTTTTTGACCCTTAGTAATAATTGTTCTTGAAAATGGAGATAAGATATAAATAGAAATAATATTCAATGAAAAGAGATTATATCTTAAGACATAAATAATGGTAGAATAATCCAGTCACTTTTCTAATTAATATTTCTTAAGGGGCGTGTAAAAGAGAAATACGACATATAATATGAGACAGAGGGATTGAAGGAATACTATTTTTGGTTAACTTTTGAAAAAACTATGTGTAAACTAAAGAATTTTTTTGCAGTGAGTTTAATTTTTATATGATGACTGTGTGAATTTTTTTTACGTTATTCTACATTACATGTAATTGCTCCTAATAAGGTCAAATAAGTTACCTGAAAGATAAAGCAACAATTTGCTATAACATAAGCATTAAATTATAGTAGTGATAGTTTATCTACCAAAAAAGAAGTGATAGTGTAAATTTATTCTACGCACGATTAGTGTTTATAAGTCAAGGTCAAGGGTTCAAGGCTAGTAACAGTAAGTCAAATCTTTTACACTAACATGACACCTAAAAATAACAACACACAATTATATACTCCTTCCGTTTACTCTTACTTGTCCAGTATTTTAAAAATAAATTTTTACTTTTACTTGTTACTTTTAGCATATCAAGAGAAAACAATTTCTTTTTTCCTGTTATACTCTCAGTATTAATTAGTCATTTCAAATCATTTTCTTAAACCATTAAAATATGCATCAATTAATATGGGTTCATGATAAATTATGCACTTTATTTATTATTTTTTAAAGGTGTGCAAAGTCCGTAGTAGACAAGTAAAAGTGAACGAAGGGAGTATATGATTTCTCTCTCATTTTAGCTTTTTCCAAGAGAGTTCTATAGATTTTGCCTTTTCAGTCGCCCTATCATTATTTGATTTACAATTTCATTTAATTGATTTCTAATCGTTTTTAGTATTTCTCCCATCTGCATTTAAGTCTTCTAGGTAATTGGGCCCCAATTGATAGAGTGATTATACACTTATTATACATGATTATATATATATTATCCATGAATTACGCATATATTTTATCTGACAATCTTGAAAAAGGTCTTATTTGCATGAAGTTATGCAAAACAGAAGACCAAGTTGCAGATATCTTCACCAAAGCACTGAGCAGATATCACTTTAAAAAGAATCGATTGGCATTAGGGTTGATAAAATCAAAAACTGAGCACCAAGTTCCTCAATGATTGGCTATGAAAGAATGAATAGGTAAAACAATTAAAAAGTGTTTTCTAGCAAGTTCTAACTCATCTCTGTACCATTATAGGTAAACCCGTATGGCAACTACAGAGCAAACAAGCAGCTAATAACGTTGCATCTTGGTGAAAGAATGAGACTCACATTTACAAAACTAAGTTAGGGAACCTGGTTCCCTTGACTCACGTTAGTAGTTCCTTTGTACTCTCATGCACATTTTTAACGGCTATCAAAGTGCCACATCATTAAATGTTTTAGTCACTCTCTCTCATCTCCTTAAAACTCAAACGTCACACCCGTTACTAAACGACCCGTCTACCCAGTAATCCATACCCGTTTGTAACCGGTCCCTCACTTCCTCTAAATAACCCCAAGCGTTGTCTCTTTCCTCACTATCCACATCAAAGCCAAAAATTCCCTTTTCTCTCTCAAAGCAAACTCTCTTCTTCTCGTGTCTCTACTTCTAATCTCCACTATGTCTCAGAATCCAGAAATTCCAAACACTTCCAATGTCGTCCCCACTGTGTCTTCATCTCACGAAGTACTGGAGCGGGAGTCAGAGTCCCAATAGTTGCCCAGTCAAAACCCCATACCAGACCAACAACCACCAAATGCTTCCTCTCCAACCCAATCGAGTTCTTGTTCTTACTGCAATCGTAAGACTCAGAACCCCAAAAGGTTCGTTGTTGTGACCTCTCCTTCTGCCTCGCCGAAAAAAATGGCAGAAGACGAAACAGTAGACGGAGACGAAGGATAAGAAGTTTCTAGTCAGAAAGTTGTGAAAAGTTCTGAGATCCAACAAGATGTGGTTTGTAGTGGCGAAGTTTCAGCAGTGGCCGTTCCAAGCTTTGATTTGAATATTTCCGATCCTATAGGTAATGCTCCTCTTGTATCCTCTGATTCTATTTTGGGGGTAAATGAGAAAGAACCCATTGAGAACATTTTACTAGTTGCTGCAGAGGGAGGTTCTGTTGGTGGTTATGAGGGTGATAATGAGACCATTGGGTCTTAGGGGGAAGGTGAACGTCACAAAGTTGAAGGTGGGGACCTGGTGGTTGAAAGTGGGGAACCGGTTCCCTTTGAAACTTGGAACCGGGCAGTACTAGTAAGAAAACAACAGAGGGATCTGATCCCCCTGCCCAAGAAGAGCATTCTTCTCCTACTTGGGATGAAACCTCTTGCTCCTCAAAAGAGCCCCAGGTCAGTAGTGATCCTGCTCCTTCTCCTCACTTCGATGGTGAGCCGTTGAACCGTTGAACTTTGTCATTTCTGAGATGAGATCTCTGTCTAAAGAAGAAAATGAAAATAGTGAGAAAGACTATGACAATGTCACATTGCCAAGATTCATTACTGCCAGAAGTGGTAGGGCAGTTCCCAAAAAGCCCATTCTCAAAAGATCCACCACTAGGCTGCAAAAGAAAGAAGCTTATGAGTCTGTTCTGAAGCAAAACAAAAAGGAAAAGAGAAAAATAAGGTTGGTGAAAGGGGGAAAGCCAATCAATGAGGAGGACGTGCCTCCTGCACATATTGTTCATGTTAATGATGAAGAGGTGAATGAGGAACCTGCTTCCTTAGTTCATAAATCTTCCTCTAAGA